ACACACACACACACACAATCCAAATTGAATTGCCCTCTGTGTTCTGTCAATAATCAATTTCTTCAGGAAACACTCCACCTCACATCTGATGACATCCTGGCAAAAAAGAAAGAAAGAAATAATCTGCTTTGTTTTAATTCAATATCTAGCACACGTCTATGGACATTGCTGCATTCTAATGTATTATTATAACTTAAAAACTACCACTGGCAAAAAACACAGACATACAGAGTGTACATTTAGACCATATTTATTTATAGCCTGAATGAGAAGCAAATGTACCAGAGCTGGATGTTTGAATCACTGGCTGTGTCATGTGAGTCCATCATCATTGGTGCAGATATCCTTAGTGTTTCAGCAAGTCCCTTTGTGAAAAAGGTTCTTTATCAAGTCCCTTAACACATGCTAACACAATGGTATTGGTAGAAAAAAATAAATAAAAAATAAACCACCACAACAACAAAAAAACAATGGTATTGATATTTTGCTCACAAATACGATCACTGCCCTGTGGGATCTGCAGCCTTCTGGAGTGTGCATGAGAGCACCACTGATCACAGGCTGCTGATTTTTGTAGTTATACATTTATCTGATAGTTCACAGCAGAGAGACAGAAATAATTGGGAGAGACAAAAGAGGATGACATACCAGCTGAGCCACCTCAACGCTCCAGGAGGCTGCTTATTGCTCAGAGAAATACTGTGTGTATGCATTATGAATATGAATGTATGATGCTTTGTTTTGACACAACACATCCACTGATTTTACTTATACTTAGTGGGTCCTCATTGTGTCTGCACAGGTTCATATACTGCAGCTCTTAATGTGGTGTACCATGTCCGATAATATTTGATTACATACCACATGCAATCCAATATTATCGGAGCCAATAAAGAAAAAAACAAGATGCTGATGTTTAAAGAGGTTTTGAACCTAAATACAAGTACAGAATACCACCCAATTTAAAAATGCACATATCTTTGATTATTTCTGTAAGCTGCTGCATCCTGAACAAGCGGTTCTGCCTCTATTTCTTATGTAACTAGTTCCAAACATTAAAGGTAGTTTTTAATTTGGTAAAAAAAAGAGACACATTTGTATATTTGTAATAGACCACGCATGTTCAGGCCCTAAGGGAAGACTCTGCCACCTTACTTGTCCTCTACTCCCTCATACAAGGCGTTAATGGCTCTAGGCATATTTCTTCTATCACACAGAATCTAGCTCAGCAGACGGCCATAGGACGAAAATGTCAAACACTCAGAGTTTGTCCCACTGGAGGAGACCTTTTGACTCCCTGTATTACAATCAGACAAGTGATCTGACCTTCAGTCGTTGAGGCTTGGAAATGCAACATGTCCGTCTTAACCCATTATTGATGAACACATCAAAATAGTAGTAAAAATGCCAAGAGAAATCATTCTGTTTAGTTAGTTTAGAATAAAAGTTATATATGAAGCATGAGTGCATCTTTTGTCATCATTAAAACAAATAGGGTTTCAGTGATACTTCTTGAATGCTATTTTAGGTGCAATCTTTCTTATATCCACAAAAAGAGAAGCATTTGTGGAACAAGAATACACATCGTCATAGATGCAATACACTACAGCAAACCACTAATGGTTGAGACTTACAAGAAAAGGAACATAGGACTTTTAAGAGACTACTGTTGTTTTTAATGTTTGTAAATGGAAGGAGATATGCCTAATATGTGCCAAATTTTATCCAATCAGTTCCTGGCCCACATATAGGCTATAGTCTGGGATCCATTATGGCAGTTGTAGTTATATTTTATACACAATGTATAACATTTTGTCCTATGTTTTCCATTCCTGTGGTGAAGATCTGCAGCTTGTTTCTTTTTGCTGCATATTTGTTGTCAAATTGGTCCAAATGATGCAAAATCATATTTCGGTGAGTCGTTTTCATCATTTGCTGTGTTTTATTGATTTACTTGTGTCACAAGTGCCCAGTTATAATGGTAATGATATTAAATTAAACAAGATGTACTCACCCAAACCTTTCAACTGAGCGAGTTGGTTCACAAGGTACTTTGCATCTGAGTTATTCCAGTTATCTAAGCTAGTACATCATTTTGAATAATTTGACCTTGTTTAAAACAGACATATTATGTTTAATTATCAGTGTGGGGTGAATTGGCTGCTCACTGTCTTTAAACCGACATCATCATCTCATCTCCAATTACAAATAAAATGTCAGGACAAAACATATCAGCAAATGACACCCCTCTTCATTTCATTGTTAACTATTACAAAAATACCGAGCCAGATAGGAACAGAATCTCACAATTTGTCTCAAGCTGGCTTTGAAATTCCACAAGGTTGACAGAGAGCGATTTAATGACAAAAACTGAAAATCTCAAGATTTATGAAAGCATACCAGACAACTCAGCAGGCTCTTTTATATGCCAGCAGTTGGGCTTGATCTTGGTGATGTAGCCCTAGTATGGTGATTGCACCCAACACCTCTGACAAAGCCAATCACTTGGAGCTATTTCTGACTAAGGCTGAGGACAAGGGTTCTCATTATTACTAAAAACCTTTAGGATGGGACTGTAGGCTGCCAGGATACTTCTCTTATTAATCGTCATCAGGGAAATCAGAATCAAGTGTGTTACACGCTGCATGTAAGTGTATGCTCCTCAATCACTATACATAATGCATAGTGCCCCAGTTTCTATAGTGATTAATAGGCAAATAATATTTTGTTATATTTGTCACTCTTAATTAAAGACCAGCACTAAGAAAGGGTTGGGCAAATAAAACTATAATGACAAAGAATCCACTCAGAGTAATGGCATTTCTTATTTAAAGACCTATGTTCTATAGACTGCAAAAGAAACAAATAGGCCTACAGTAAGGAACAGATAGGCCTATATGTTGTATTATATATTACTCCATTAAATATAAGGCTATATGGCCAAGAGATTGTTAGCTTAACTTTGCATCTAACTAGAACAGAGGGAAACAGCTAGCCTGGCTTGCCAAATGTAACAAAATCTATATAATCTATCATACTTCATGTGATTAATCTGTACAAAAAAAAATGTGTAACAACAACAATTCAGTTTTTCACAGGTCTACCGGACAAGGAATAGGCCTGCACATCCCCTGTAACACCGCCCTATAACACCTCAACATGTCATTTTTACACTTTGTTTTTGCACTGATAAACAAACAAGATACAGTGTTTTAATTAGTGAGGTTGAAAGGTGCTGGCAGACAGATTTTTTGATGTAGCCATGCTAGCTGTTTGCCTCTGTTTCCAGTCTTTGTGATGAGCTAAGCTAACCAGCTACTGGTTGTAGCTTTATATTCAACAGGAAGAAAGAGTCGTATCAGTCTTCTCATTGAAACTCTCCACCAGAGAAAAAAAAAATTTCCCAAAGGATCAAATGACTGTGTTATGTAAAACGGGTCTAACCCATGCGTTCATCACTTTGATTTATAACCCAATTCTAAAATTCCCCTCAGCTCCACCGAGACTTTTCACCAGGTGGCCTGTAAAAGTGTGTAGTGTATAGTATTTAGTGGCATCTAGCAGTGAAGTTGCACATTGCAACTAACTGAACACTGCTGGCATCTGTATATGACAACCTGGTAATGAGAACGGGCTGTGAAGGTTGTAGGAGAAACTATGGTGGCCATAAAATTCGCGAAAACCCGAAAGAAACTTTACAAGCAGTGTTAGGTTTGTCCATACTGGGCTACTATAGAAACATGGCAGTTTAACATGGCGGCCTCCACGCAAGGCGATCCGTGTAGATAAAGATAAACAGCTTATTTTACGGTGAATGAATATTATAGAAAATTTCTGCCAATGGATCCTCCTAAATGTTACACGCTGGACCTTTAGGGGTATTTGAATGCTGCATTGTTAATTTTACATATGAAAACTTAAACTTTCAATTGAGTTTCTTGGTATGTCTTCTTGTACTTAATGAATACATTTTCCATCACTAGAAGCATCATAGAAAGAGATCTTAGATCAAGTGCAGCCATATACCATACAAACCAAAAAACCTTGAAATAACTTCACTTCTGAGCTGAACACAAATGACTGCAACCACAGCAACGTGACTCTAACTATTTTGCTCTTTCCTTAGGTGGGTGCATGTTGAAAACATTGGATTCCACAGCACTGTAACGGACAAGGTGGTGAGGACAAAACAAATGCTCACAGCCATTTGCTTCACTCTCCTGCACAGGCTATCTTCATGGTTAACTGTACTACCCATCCCCCCACACACTCTCTGTTAACTGCCTATCCCCAGCAGGATGAGCTGGCTGTAAACCACACCAGGTCTATTAATTAATTAATGTACCCTAACAGCAGGGTTGGCTCCCTCCATTGTAGTGGAGCAGTTCTTGTGCCTGCAGTGGTGACTGCCGCTGTGTCTTTGCGTTCCCAGAGAGGAAAGAGATAGAGGAGTAGAGCAGCAGACAAATGTGGATGGGAGGAAGCCGTCAGCACAGCATAGTAACCATTAATCACCCAGGGCCACTGTGGTCCTGTCCTGTATACAGCGCCAGTGCAGGCAGGCAGACAGAGAGAAAGAAGAAGAGAGGAAGAGGGAGAGAGGGGGCAGGGTGGCTGCAGGGAGAAAGAGGGGGAGAGAATGGTTGGGGATCAGCCCGTATGTCCACCTCAGCTCCTACTGCGGGGCTGGGGAGCAGTGCTGCTGTCTCAGTGCTTGTCCTCCGTGTTCTCCCAGATCCCGGATCCTGAGGTAAGAGCCTGATACATCACTATGTCCTCCACAGGTCTCTCTCAGGAATATCTGGAGGGTGTCTCTGTGATGGGTGCAGGTGTTGTGCGGTTTAAAAAGGTAGCTTGATGTAGGCCTAATGCATACTTATTGTTATGGTCACCAGTTGTTGCTTGCCTTACTTGAGGAGCATGAGAACATATGTTGAAACCTGATACATTATGTGGTCTTATGTGAACATCCAAGCCCGTATTTAAACAGATGTAGACAGAAGGATGAATATGATCCTGAGTGAGTGAGTCCTGTTCGACAGGCTGTTATTATGCTTGGGCTGAAGAGAAGAGGGATACCTTGCAGAGAATATGACTACTACAATACTCTAACTACAAAAAAGCCGCGGGAATCCATTATGTTTTCTAAAAAAACAAAGTAATAAAATAATTCTGCTTATGAAAAATAGGACATTTATTTTGTTTCTATACAGTATGCTGCATAGAAACACATACCATATTATCACTGACAAGCATTCCTTATATTAAAATGAATCATCAGTAATGGTTGTATATTAAAGACATGTTTGCAACAAACTACAGAACCAAACTACCCATGACATTACAATAAATTGCATGTTGAATACTGTATGATTTAAAACAGGGCAAAAATGGATTATGAGTAGTAATCTAATAGATTACATTGCTGTAAGCCAACAGATAATATATTGTGTTTATATTTAGTTACATTTATTTAAATATAACCCAGTTTTTACATGTGACATCCACTGAACTTTGCTTTGCAGCAAACAAACAAACACTTGAGCTTAGCAAGCAAGTCAGGGAAAGCACAAGAAACTCCCTCTGGCTGCTTGTACAAGGCATTCAGAGCTTTCAGCGGAAAAAGTGAAGCTTGAGTTGGTGGCAGAAGATGCTTAATGTAATAATGTTTGTACTGTTTATATGGCGGTCTGGATCAATAGTCTCGACCTCTGCAGGTGTCAGACAATGAGGGTTAATTAACTTGTTCTTCAGGTAAAACACAATACATTAACAATAAAAAATACAAATTTAAAAACTTCAGGAAATATAATCTAAACGCTGTAGGCCTGGCACACATTTGTATATATCCTTTATTCAGGATAACCTTTTGTGAGTAAGAATAACTAAACCTGTATCCAGATTTATCTATTTTTAGATGTTAATCCTCCGCTCAGTTATACTAATCTTCTTTGATTAGTCCCTAAAGGATTTTCTTAGAAAAACTATACAAAACACTTGAGGAAGAATATCTAAACATGCCACTGAATGTGTAATGAACAAACTAGCCAACCAACCATCCAAGAAACAAAAACATGTAATAAATTTGGGTATATAATGACGAGGTAACCTGAGGTCAGTATGATTCTGAATTTATGTTTGTTCCACTAAAAGAAAACTTGAGGCTTATAGCCACTAATCCTGCCACATGAAATGCTCCTCCAGAGGAAAAGGACTTAGCATTACATAATCACTCTCGAGGCAAAATTTGTTATTATTTAAGAGCAGCGCTAAATATCCCATCAAGGCTAATCCTTCTGTGGGGGGTGCACAAATGTGAATGGAAACTCATTCAGATAATTTTCTTTGCAGCCCTTCTTGTGTCGCCCTCGTCAGACAAACAGTATAGAGACCCTGAAGACAGCTTGTACTGTCACATTTTGGCATGTTGGCTCGCTGAAGCCTATGAGGTCTGACAAACAGCAAAAACAACAGGTTCGTTTGCTCTGGTGCTGAAAGTCTTACATGGCACAAAGGAGAAAATATGAAAAGATGTTGGAATATGTACAAATTCAAAGCTTATTGTAACATTTCATAATTTATTTAATTTTACGTGAACTCAAAGAAATTTTCCTGGAACACTGACTGTTTAAAAAACTTTAGGGTACAAGCAAAGTTTTCTATCTTTCATTGTGATCCTGTGTTTCTGAACTATTTTAGTTCATTTCTACCAAGCGAACCTATTCCATTTCATTGTTTCATCCTCTGCAGAGCCTCAATTTTACTATATCACTGTTGCAGCTTATTCTTAGAACATTTTTGTATTTTACCGCATAATAGTGTTATCAGGAAAGAAAGCAAATGTAATAAGTATCCATTTTCTAATCCATCACGTGTTGGTGAATTGACTAAAGCGTCGAGTTTCCAAGACAACCTTGTATCATCCAGTCAAGTGATCGATATTCAGGAGACAGGGAGAAATCCGCACAATGATTTTATCAGGAAACTGATGCTCTGCTGACATAATAGTGATCCAAGCCATTGATCTAACATGGAGACATGCACAGTTTTTGTATATATTGCTCCCCATTCCCCAGCTCTGGGGAGAGATGTTTTGAAATGCGAAAAATGTTTGTTTCGCTCTATTGACTGTACTTGGAGCAGCACAAAATTAGAACAATCTAATACCATTGTGAATGTTCAGAAACCGGAATTGCATGAAAACCAGCCTACTCCAGTCATATTTGTAGTCCTCTGCGAGTCTTGTTGGTGTCAAGTAAGGGGAGATTCAGGTGGAGGCAGAGCTGTAGAAACCTACAGGTTATGTGGGTGTTTGTTTTCTTGACAGGGGCTTAAGAAATGTTAAAGAGATTTTCACCAGGGCCCTTGGTTTTTCTGTCAATGCCATGAAAAAAATTCACTTTTCCTTCCAGTCAGCTCTATGGTTTTCTCAAAGTATCTCAGAACCTGTAGGTCAGTTTAGTTAAAGGTCCAGTGTGTGACATCTATTGGCAGAAACAGAATCTAATATTCGTAGGTATGTTTTCATAGTGTATAATCACTTGAATGAATCGTTGTGTTTTAGTTACCTTAGAATGAGCTGTTTTTATCTACAAACATTTCCATGGAGTGTTGAACCACCATGTTTCTACAGTTGCCCAGAAGGGAGAAACCAATTACTGGCTTTAGATGGGGGCATTTGTGTTTTTCACCTTAGTTTCTCCTTCAGCGTTGGAAGTGGAGGGTGAAGCGAGGGACTGCACCACTAGATGCCACCCAATCCTACAGACACACACTGGACCTTTAAATGTCATTAATCTAAATAAATAATACATTACATGTGTTACATCATGGATTAAATCTTTATGAAAGGTGAGGTTGTATAAAATTGTTGGTCACATGCTTGGGTATAGATTGCAATGAAAGGAGAGTAAAATTAGTTATCTAGTGATAACTAGAAAACTGTGACCTTTAGAAGACTCCAAACTGTATATTAGTTTCAGGCAGAGCTCATCATTACTTCATTTTCACTTGAAGACAGAAAGATAATAAGGTGACTGAAAAATCTTACACTAATTATTTTACTGACATACTACATTGCCTAAAGATTAAAGTACAGAAAACTGAGTATAATTCCTTGATGATCTGAAGCTTGAGTTACTATCTTGTTTAGTTCTTGAGGTTTGCTCCCTGTTGTAAAACCTGTTTGTGAAGGTTTATTTCTGGTGTGCAGATACTACAAGAATCAATCCTGCCTCTTTTTTCCACAGCTTTTACCCACAGATCCCCCAAAGAAGCCAGACCCCGTCAACTCAGAGACTGTTGTTTTCTGGGGGCTGCGGTTATGGCAGGTCATCGGCATCTTTTCAGTGTTTGTTTTAGCAGTCGGTCAGTATATATCATGAAATCACTTTGTTGACACCTTCACAAACCATTCCCCAAATAGACATCTATTTTGAGAAATAACTGCAGGCCAAAAATGTCTGTGCATGTAATTATGCGTCCACAGGGTGATTATCAAGTGCAGTGTGATTAGTGGTAATGACAATGATATTATGTCAATAAAGACAGGGATCACGTCTATGTTTCCGGACGTGAGTCATCCAAAATAGCTGCAACTGCAGAATGAGGAAAGAGAAACTCTCTTCTCTTCATTACAATGACTTTAATGTTAAATGGTAAATATTGGGTCAAAATGCAGATTCAAAATTTTAAAATTTTAACCAACAAACTGTGTATAGTGAAATTTTTAATGCATATGGTTTACCTGAGACACTTTTTGATTATTTGTGGACAGGTATTTGTTGGACAGGTCACTTGCCTCTCACGATATCTAGCAGGCTGATAGTTTTGGTTTCATTTTCCCGGATTTTGACATATACATCTCTGTGTTTTCTGGTTCAAACCCAATACAAGAAAGGCATTTTAACAAGACTGAGAGTCTACAATAACAATATAATATGAAACGTTTTATGTTTTATCAAGATAAATAAATATAGGTTTATATGTCATAATAATGTAAAAATATATTGTTATGACACGTTACAACTTTTCACATTATAAGATAAAATTTTTCTGATGCAGCAGTAATATGTTTCCTTAACACAGCAAACAGACAGAAATCTCAGAAAATATCTGTGGGGTAGATACCACTAGAAGTTAAATATCTATATATTTTGTAACTTGAGTTAGTGACATTTTAAAACACTTAAATCCATCCATGGTGTAAAAATGTTTGCATTTATTAGCATGTGCTATTAAAATAAACTCACTGTGTCCCTGTTTCTTCTCCTTCAGTTATCACTCTGTGTTGTATATTCAAATGTCGAATTCCGAGAACCAAAAAGGAAATTGAGGCGAGGCACGCGCAAAGAGAGGCCGCCAAGAAATATGCCAACACATTAGAGACAGTGCCACCTCTAAATGAGCTGACTGAGATCCCAGGATGTAAGTACCCCATATATCTTTCCAATATTAATATGACTATATTAAATTGGTAATAACTGGCTGAGATACACAAGCTCTGATGTCCAATGTCAACTGTGGCTCTTTCCTGGAATGGTTCTGCTTGTTGATCGTGCCAACGTTTCTTTTAATGCTTTATTTGAAGTTGCACGGGGCAACTTCAAATGCCAGTGCCTCCAAATGAGATAAAGAGAAATAAATGTTACATTGAAGTCCTGTGGCATACAGTGCATCCGGAAAGTATTCACAGCGCTTCACTTTTCCCACATTTTGTTATGTTACAGCCTTTTTTCCCCCTCAAAAACGTACACACAATACCCCATAATGACAATGTAACAAAAAGGTTTTTTTTGAAATTTTTGCAAATTAATTAAAAATAAAAAGCGAAAAATAATCACATGTACATAAGTATTCACAGCCTTTGCCATGACACTCAAGATTGAGCTCAGGTGCATCCTGTTTCCACTGATCATTCATAAGATGTTTCTACAACATAATTGGTCAACCTTAGGTAAATTCAGTGGATTGGACGTGATTTGGAAAGGCACACCTGTCTATATAAGGTCCCACAGTTGACAGTGCATGTCAGAGCACAAACCAAG